CTTGTCAAATTAACGTCCTAAAATTGGCCTTTGTAGTAGGGGAAGAGAAGAAAGGAGAATGACGAGGGAAAACATCCACCATTATGTTCAGGAGGGGTAAAGAGAAAGTAGTATAACTGGATGATTTACTGTAAGTCTGTATCACAACAGTAACTGGAGATAAGTACCAGCCCAGTTATTTCAGGCGCTCATGTGTCACACGACTTCAAAAAGAGGGACACAGCCAAACAAATAATTAACAAAGTCAGTGAGATTAATTAAAAGGGAAGAGTTCAGGGAAGGTTCAGCCTGCTGCTAGCTGGGGGACAGGAGGACTCCCCTGCTGGATGGAAAGAGAGAGTGGAAAGAAAGAATATCAAAGAAGAAAGGGAGAAGAAACTAGTAAAAACAGTGGCTGTCATGAAATTCCATCTTTATGAAAACAGCTGGGTGTGGGAGAGACTGTGGGGACTCTCTCCCTCTCTGTCTCTCTCACCCTTTCTTTCTGATCATGTTGTGGCATCAGCAGCCTCCTTGAATTACAAAGTAGGGGACTCTCAGTCATTCTATTGTTGGCGGGTCAGAGCAGGTAATGATAAACACAAAGACAGAACAATAGCCCAGCACCAACAAGCATGGAGTTAATGAGCGACCAGCCCCACCTTGCATTCACACCATGCCCCTCCCCCACCTAATCCCCACCTCACCCCCCACACGCTCCATTCACTAACCCTGGTGATTATCATTCGCTCCAACATCGGCCCTCCATACCACTATCTGCTATCAGTTCACGGGCATCAGCTGGGATAGTCTCATTAGCGTAAGTATGCATACTATCAATACTATCAGACACTTTAAAGGGCCCCGGGGCTCTGAGGGCTGGTGAGGCATCCAACATATCACTAATGTTATCAAATAAAGAGCGCTACAGGGACAGGCCACGGGACAGATGAATGGGTTTTAATGGGGTTGTGTGTGAACCACCTGGTGAAATAATCACAAGCTCTGATTTGAAAGAAAGAGAAAGAAAAGAGAATAGCAGGTAGATTAGATTGATCTGACATGCTGGAATGCGGCATCATCAATATCTGCTGTTGTCTGTGTTGGCTTAGTGAAGGGGAGCAATAGTTTAAAGTTCGATCCTGCCAAAATGACCAAGACAAAGATTTGGCCTACTACTGTAAAAAAAAACAATTGTTTTGTTTTCTTTGGAAAGGCAGCCTCTCAAAACTAAATGTAGAGCTTGTTTGTCTCTAATTACTCTGATATTTTCACAGCTACTGATCACGATAAAAACATAATCTATACCATTACACAAACCTACATAATCATGAAAGATTATACAACATTTACATCTTCAAAAATCCTCACAATGAAGAAAAGTAAAGTACACCTTAACTTTCCCCCACTAATTTTTACTGTGGATATAGATACTTTTGTACCTGTTTCCTCCAGCATCTTCACAAGGTTCTTTGCTGTTGTTCTGGGATTGAATTGCACTTTTTGCACCAAAATACGTTTATCTCTAGGAGACAGAACGCGTCTCCTTCCTGAGCGGTATGACGGCTGCGTGGTCTCATGGTGTTTATACTTGCGTACTATGTTTGTACAGATGAACGTGGTACCTTCAGGCATTTGGAAATAGCTCCCAAGGATGAACCAGACTTGTGGAGGTCTAAAAACAAAGGTCTGAGGTCTTGGCTGATTTCTTTAGATTTTCCCATGATGTCAAGCAAAGAGGCACTGAGTTTGAAGGTAGGCCTTGAAATACATCCACAGGTACACCTCCAATTGACTCAAATGATGTCAATTAGCTTATCAGAAGCTTCTTAAGCCATGACATCATTTTGTAAAGGCTCAGTCAACTTAGTTAGTGTATGTAAACTTCTGACCTACTGGAATTGTGATACAGTGAAATATAAGTGAAATAATCTGTCTGTAAACAATTGTTGGAATAATTACTTGTGTCATGCACAAAGTAGATGTCCTAACCGACTTGCCAAAACTATAGTTTGTTAACAAGAAATTTGTGGAGTGCTTGCTAGGTCAAGAGAAGGACCAAGATAGAGGAAGAAAATGAGAACCAGGGAGAGAGAACAAGATAGAGACCGAGAGAACAAGACAGAGAGAACAAGATAGAGACAGAAAGAACAAGACAGAGACAGAGAGAACAAGACAGAGACAGAGAGAACAAGATAGAGACAGAAAGAACAAGACAGAGACAGAGAGAACAAGATAGAGACAGAGAGAACAAGATAGAGACAGAGAGAACAAGACAGAGACAGAGAGAACAAGACAGAGACAGAGGATGGGAGAGAGAGACACACAGAGGGAGAGAGAGAGTGCTCTTTTTTGAGAGGGGAGGTTAGGAGGGGATCTGCAGGGAAACAGAGGAGCTGCAGAAAATAGGCTTTAATGGGGCATTCACATTCAGCTGGCCAGCACAAAGGAGTGGCATTTGGATTTGGGAGCTGGGCTGATTGTTAGACTGGTGTGCTTTAGTGGCGGCCGGGAGAACCAAGCTCTGACTGATTGTGGGGAAAGACTCATTGTTGAGTGGAATGTCAGCAGTTTTGAAGGAGGCCAGCGAGAAGGGCAAAGAGAGAGCATGAGAGAGAGGGGAGAGAGAGACACTGTATATATACATAATATGACATTTGAAATGTCTTTATTCTTTTGGAACTTCTGAGTGTAATGTTTCCTGTTAATATTTCTTGTTTATTTCACTTTTGTTTACTATCTACTTCACTTGCTTTGGCAATGTTAACATACGTTTCCCATCCCAATAAAGCCCTTACATTGAATTGAATTGAGAGAGAGAGAGAGAGAGAGAGAGAGAGAGAGAGAGAGAGAGAGAGAGAGAGAGAGCGAGAGAGAGAGAGACAGAGAGAGGGAGAGAGAGAGAGAGAGAGAGAGAGAGAGAGAGAGAGAGAGAGAGAGAGAGAGAGAGAGAGAGAGAGAGAGAGAGAGAGAGAGAGAGACAGAGAGAGGGAGAGAGAGAGGGAGAGAGAGGGAGAGAGAGAGGGGGGGGTGACAGAAACACTCAGATAGATCAAATTAAAGACAGGAAGACAGCGAAAGAGATGCAGAGAGAGGGTGATGAGAAGAGAGAGAAAAGGGAGGGACAGAGGTGAAATGGGGAAAGGGGTTTGTAGTGTGCACTCTTTATTTATGGACCTTCAGGGGCCCAGTGCCCAAGCGCCCTCTCTCTCTTTCTCTTTTTCTCTCTCAATTAAATTAAATTCAAAGGGCTTTATTGGCATGGGAAACATATGTTAACATTGACAAAACAAGTGAAATAGATAATAAACAAAAGTGACATAAACAATAAAAAATGAACAGTAAACATTACACTCACAAAAGTTTCAAAGGAATAGAGACATTTCCAATGTCATATTATGGCTATATACAGTGTTTTAATGATGTGAAAATAGTTAAAGTACAAAAGGGAAAATAATTAAACATAAATATGGGTTGAATTTACAATGGTGTATGTTCTTCACTGGTTGCCCTTTTCTTGTGGCAACAGGTCTCTCTCCTGCAGCGTTGCTTTATAGCATGATGTCAGGCAACAAACGGGAAGGCCAATAGTGAGCAGGGAACGCTCACTGTGCCACATTGAGGGGCTCTGTGCTCTGGCATGGGGACAGTATTCTCTACTCCTCAGTCAGTAGCATGGCAGTAGAGCACAGTGGAGTGAAAAACAGCCTTTGGTTAAACAGGATAGAAATAGTAGGATCATTTCTGTCTTAAGCAGACTCCATTGGCATGGCATGAACTTGAGGGATGTGTGTGTGTGTGTGTGTGTGTGTGTGTGTGTGTGTGTGTGTGTGTGTGTGTGTGTGTGTGTGTGTGTGTGTGTGTGTGTGTGTGTGTGTGTGTGTGTGTGTGTGTGTGTGTGTGTGTAGGTCTACGTGCGCGCATTGGATGTGGGCCACATTCTCACACCATTGTGTCTGACATGAAAGAAGTTCATGTTCCCCTCTCAAGCTGAAAATTGTTGGCAGAACTTTAGAGCTCTTGCCCATGAGAGTAGCCCATCCAGAGCTGGCACACGAGCTGTGTGCTACGCTGCAGCTTGTGATGAATGAGCGATACAGCGTTCATAGTTCGCCCTGGCATTCTCTCTCTCTCTTCATCCTGTACCTGCAAAATGCAAAAATAAAATAATAATAATTAAATAAATGGCATTTCGCAAAAAACTACTTGACTAAAACAAATGTTCTCAAGAGTATGTAAAGATGTTAAGGAACTAAACTAAATTTTAGCAGCTGATAAAATCATACAATATATATTTTTGACAGTGTGATTTCTTTAATTTCTGAATTAATTAAGCCTTGTTGTGTTCTGACTCTAACTTCAACTAAAGGGATTAGGCCTACCTTGGCTTGCTTTATATCATAATGATGCAATTTAGCAGGGTCAATTTGCAGAAATTGAATAGGCCTACAAAAACAAGTACCTTATAATTGCATGTGTTTCAAAGAACCTTTTATGCCCTATTTGTTTACGCACCAATTTAACATGTAATAAATGAAGGAACAATATAAAGCTATGTCACAAAAACAACTTCATTTGCATACATTTGATGAAATGATTAATGAGAAAGACAATTATCCTACCTTTACAGTGATTTGCCAAATATGGGAAATAAATGGGTAAATAACAAGTAGGCATTTAAGTTAAACTTTTATTCAGGTTATGGTTTTGACTTATTTCTCAAGAAGAATATATTTGTTAGTCCAATAGCCTACGTTTAAAAAAATATTGATAATCAAGTGCTAAATCTGCCTGAAAAGATACATTAAACCTAATAGAGCAACAATCCAGAGAAACTGTAAATTAAGATCTTGGATTTGGGGTAAATGGAGTGGAGGCGGTAGAGATCTTGGTTTATATTTGTCACCGAGGGGGCAGCCTCTGAGGGGATTTGTTTTGGGGGTGGGGGTTACAGAATCTTACCCCCTCCTCCCTCTTCTCGCTCGTTTTAGTCCATTGTTGTGACTCTTGCGCTCAGTGCAGTGGAGTCGGATCAGCAGCGAGACGCAGCAGTAGGCTACCCCGCAACATTATCAGAGTGGCTAGCTAGCCTAATTGAGATTTAGCTCGCTTTTAAATGTACTACGTTCTGTTGGGACCAACTAATTACTGAACGGACTCTGAGCTAGTGAAGAGCAAACCACCGTGCGCAAAGATTGACCAACATCTGCTATATTGTTGCCGCGCTGTAGCCGAATAATGTATCCACATTGATTGAGAAAGGAGCGATATAAGGGACTACACCGAGTCCATCGGAGATTTGTCTGTTTCTATTTGCAACAACCAACACGGATCTTGTTCCTTCCATTCGCAAGAGGGGAAATGTGAATTAAGCAGCAAGTTTGGCCGAAGTCTCTCCTTATGGATTTAGCACTTTCTGCCGCATGAACCCGAAAGAAGGAGCCTGGCGCGCAAGCCTCATTCTGCAGTGAGAACACAATTGGGTCAGGGTGAAGTGGACTTTGCGCCCCAGTTCCAAGGATCAGAGCTAGCTGCTTCCCTGCCTGCTCACCACCGGCAGCTGTCCTTCATGTTATGGTTGTTTTGATGGATGGATAAGTGTATCTCCGAGGTTTTCACCAGGACGCACACTAAAGGCAATCACCAAAGACTTTAAAAAGAGAAAGAAACAGAAGCCCAAATTAAGATTCCAATATTCACCTCGATCGAATGGAACTTGGATATTCTGGTGCCTAATCGAACTTTATCAAGGATCGATCATTAAGAGCAAAGACCGAACAAAAAGGTAATACGATTTCCTTGGATCCGCGAGGTTGCATAATTATTTCGTGGTAATATGTTACTTTATTTAGAGGTTACAGTCCACTAAACAATTGTTTCATTGCCAAATTGATTTCAACTCCACACATTGTACTAGTCCATGAATAACCCTTCTTGCAAATAGTTCCATGACTGGTTATGTTTTTTTGTAAAAACATTAGGCCTGTATCAGACAATGCGATTCGGTTACAACAATGTAAGAGTTTTAATGAAATGCATGATAATACAGCCATACTTCTGTTCCAATAATGTATTTTTGACACTGCAAAATCCCCGTCAATTTCAGAGTTTGCTCACAAGTGAATGAGAGATTGCTGAATGTGGCAGTATCTGTGCAGTAAAGAGTTGCAACATTGTTTCCACTGTCATATCGATTTGATTGACTTTGGGAGCGTGTGAAACAGACGCATGACATGATGTTGTTGTGTTTTTCGTCCAATACTTTATAAACCAACTGGACAATTTATATTGGTTATATCAGTTAGGCTACAAAGATAGGCTTATAGGCAATAATTGTAACGCGCCTTGGGAAACTGGTTTAAGTTATATGGAATTTATCACGATGATCATCTAGTTAACATTTTACAGAAATAGTTGGATGAAGGTAAAGGAGCAGAAGACATCGTTTGATTTATGACAACAGCATTGTAACCGCTAATGCGAATAAATGAACGCAAACAAATTAACTGATTGTGTAAATCCTTCACGATATTGAAGGCATGTTTGTCTTTCACTTGGTGCTTTTGACATAAACACAGACAAACCACTGGACAACTTTCACTAGTTTATTTAATGGGACCACATCGAGATAAACTCACCTTTCACTTCGTTGAGGATAAACGCGCCGTAAATAAGACTACATATAAAAATTATTTCCCCCCAGTTCTAAATGGAGAAAGAATAGGCTATAGTTCATTCACGGGATAGTTATTAAACCGTGTGCGCCATGGCGGCACGCACATGGTATGCATGGAACACTCCAGGACTGGCGCCTGTGCACAGTTGGCCCGGCCCGGTTCGGTTGGCGTCATGGCACCTGGACAAAATAATCACGCAGCTCAGTCTTGTTCCTGTTGCCAACTGTGGTCCCCTGTCACGCGATAATAAAAATAAACATCTTTCCATCAAATCAGAATGTTTTTTTGTCCTCATAAGAACAGTCTGCTCTAAAAATAGTTTACTGTTGAATAAATCCTCACTAGATTATTTCAACCTGGACTCAGGGGTAGACGTAATATAGTAAACGTAGACCTGTCTCGATCCATTTAGTATGATACAGTATGTTACCTTTTGTATGGTATGTAGGCTCTTAATTTGTGGATGTCCATCATCCATTTAGTATGATACGAATTAAAGTTTGTATGATATGTTACAAATTCCAATTTGTTGTGGCTAACATTAGCTAGGTGGCTAACATTATCTAGGGGTTAGGGGAAGGGTTAGCTAACATGCTTAGTATCTAAAATGCTAAAGTGTTTCAAACATGCAACCTTTGGGTTGCAAGACCAACCTCCCTCCTTTAGTTTTTATCTTATGTAACCCTTTGTCTTATGTAACCATACCAAACTTAACATATCATACTCATTTGAGTGTCACAGATTTAAATGTACTATGTTACGTAAATATTAGGTCTTTGAGGCCAGGCTGATTATTTACAGGGCTCAGGGAAAATGACATATGCAGGCTTATTTTTCTTCTCTGTTCTGGCCTGTCTGTTGTGTTGAGTGTGCCTGTGAATTTGCTATTGTTGCTCCCCGATAGCTTCCTGGCAAATCTCAAGTGTTTTCATAGTAACAGCCCATTATCCAGTCAGGCTGTGCACCTTTCTTCCAGCCGCACATTCACAGCCTCTAGTTATTCATGATGCAGGGGACAGTGGACAATGTGCTTTAATGACTGGACATTCAGGACACCTGTTTAATAAGAATACAAGGCCAGACTAAAAGAGGCTCTTTCTATCTCTACCTATTCACAAGGCTATATACCACAAACAAGTTCAGTGCTACTTACTGAAATCACATTCTACAATTTTAAATAATGACTGACTCTGTGTTGTGTTGTCCTTCCAGGTCCAGTTTTTGGTGTGTGTGTTGAGTTTGCCAATGCCCGGAATCGGTGTGTGAGGCCAGGGTTAGCCCCCCTTCATTCTTTTGCTATCACACACATCTGCAAGATGGTGAATGTCTATACGGTTTGCATCGTCATACTCTGTCTGACTGTTGGACTCCTGGCCAAAGCCATCGGGCCAGAAGACGGAAAAACAAAAGGTAGGTTTCTAAACATTGCCAAGACTGTTGTTCTTATATGTTATTTCCCCTACACTGATGAATGGTCCAAAGCCCTCTTGAGAATGATTTGCTGATGGACCACTGGTTGAATTCTCCCTGAGGGTGGTTTCTCAACTGTGGGGTTTCTTAAAATACATCTCTTAAGTCTTTACTACACAGCTTAACGTTTAAAGTGAGGTTGCTCAGTTCTGCTTAGACAAGTAATAAAATAAACCACCAACAAAAGCTTTACAAATAATAGAAAGGCCATTAAATGAACACTTCCCCCTCACATTTCAATTTTATTCACTGAAAGATCTCATTGGGGAAGGAGAAAAGTGCCCGTAGCTGTACAGTACAGTAACCCTTTGATTCATTAGGTTGGACTATTTATAGGAGAGCAGCGAGCCATAGGGAAGGTGTGATCCAGTCGAATTCAAGGTGACAGGAAGGAGAAAGGTTGTAATCATTTTTGTGGGGATGAGGATAAAAAAAACTCCCAGTGTTTTTGGTGCCGTAAACCATGCTACCCGATCCCTCCAAGACCCTGGGGCTCGGAAGTGTACATTTGTCTGGCCCGTTGCCAGCCGAGAGGGCCAGGGTTGGAGGGTAGGAAGGAGAGGATGAGGGGGGGCTTCCATTGATGCTTTACAAACACACGCCTGTCTTCGTTTATTACCTGCCACAGCCATCCATTCAGCTCAAAGTATTGTTATGATGTGTGCAGATTGGCTACATGCTCGGCAAATTGCAGCCCTCCAGGCTTAAAGGAGCTGGGGTCTCTTTTAAGCCCCTATATTGATTGCTATCAGGAAAGGTGGAAGCCCTACTCTAGTCTAGGGCTCATTTAAAAAACTTTGGTCAATGTTTTTACAATACATTATTCACAGCTGTTTAGAAAGTCTAAGCACAGTAAATAACTTCCAAAAGATTCAAATACAAAATCAAATCAAATTTTATTTGTCACATACACGTGTTTAGCAGATGTTATAGTGGGTGTAGCGAAATGCTTGTGCTTCTAGCTCTGACAGTGCAGTAATATCTAACAATTTCACAACATATACCCAATACACACAAAACTAGTAAGGAATGGGATTTAAGAATATATACATATATGGACAAGCAATGACAGAGCGGCATGGATTAAGATACAGTAGCATATTATAGAATAGAATGCAGTATATACATATGAGATGAGTAGTGCAAGATATGTAAACATTGTTAAAGTGACTAGTGTTCCATTTCTTAATGTGGCCAGTGATTTCAATAGGCAGCAGCAGCCTCTAATGTGCTAGTGATGGCTATTTAACAGTCTGATGGCCTTGAGATAGAAGCTGTTTTTCATTCTCTCGGTCCCAGCTTTGATGCACCTGTACTGACCTCGCCTTCTGGATGATAGCGGGGTGAACAGGCAGTGGCTCGGGTGGTTGATGTCCTTGATGATCTTTTTGGCCTTCCTGTGACATCGGGTGTTGTATGTGTCTTGGAGGGCGGGTAGTTTGCCCCCGGTAATGCGTTCAGCAGACCGCATCACCCTCTGGAGAGCCCTGCGGTTGTGGGCGGTGCAGTTACCGTACCAGGTGGTGATACAGCCCGACAGGATGCTCTCAATTGTGCATCTGTAAAAGTTTGTGAGGGTTTTAGGTGCTAAGCCGAATTTCTTCAGCCTCCTGAGATTGAAGAGGCTCTGTTGCGCCTTCTTCACCACACTGTCTGCGTGGGTGGACCATTTCAGTTTGTCGGTGATGTGTACGGCAATTCACTGATGAAAAACCCCTCGTCTACCACAGCAGTGAGAGGGGTAAGAGAGAGAGAGGGGACTGTGTAAGGTGAACCCTGGTAGTTTTTCGATGGGCCTGTTTGTTAAGAGGGTCTCCCCATGACTCCGTGGAAAAGCTGACTCCCGCTGTGGAGAATGCAGCACTACAATACAGCACTAAGTTCCTGCCAGAAAACATTTTACTCATTGGACAACGGTAATAATTCAGCACGGCAACACCATCCAGGAAAGTTCCAGTTACCAACCAGGAAAAAAAAGAGAGGAGAGAGAGAACAGAGGCAGCCGTTATGAACTGTTTAAGTGTGGTTGCAGGATGAACTTGGTGGTATTTTTCTCACAGAGGAGGAGTGAAATGTATGCCACACACATCGTTCCGGAGCACAGGCGTCAGTGTGCTAACGTAGAACAGCGCTGCTCACACTCAGGCTTTGACTGTGATTTACTGAGGAATTTATCCCCTCCAGATATGACATAAATCAAAATTAATTGGCATGTAGGATGCTCTGCATTTTAACTTGTTAATCACTGGTCTCTCCTAATGTGTTGTAAGCAATGTGGCTGCAATATTATCGCTCACTGTTCAGATGGCGCCAGTATATTACTGACAATATTGCGTTATTGCAGTTGGTTCTCAGCATATCCTTTGTGGTGAAGGGATACTAATGTAGAAGACTTACGTTGCCAAATGTGTCACCCAGAAAAGAAACAAACCATAGCATACCATGGATTCACCCCTAAAGGAACTCTAGTCATGAAAGAGGCGAGTGCATCTGATGGCCAAATGGTCAAACCCAGCACAGTCCCCCCTGCCAGTCGAGTCACACCAGTGAAATGTTTTGTGTTGTGTTGTGTTTGCCCCCTCGACACTGGGTGACTATTCACACTCAGCTAGCTGTGAGTTCAAATGAAGGCCACGGGCCGCTCCAAGTCCTCACAAGTTCATTAGCATGGCTCTGTGTACTTGGTGGGGAACGTTGCCTTTCCAGGCTTAATAGAAAGCGGCACTTTTAAAGTTGCCACAGCTTTTTATACTGTACTGCAAAGTAAATTCACAGTGTGGGATGGGATGGTAAACTAATGTCTAGATGGGTCAATCTCATAGTCAAGTGAATAGGAGTTTTCAATGGACAAGGAGCATATAAGGTACTTATTACAGTGTAATACAACTGTATTATTTTTGTTGCTAATTTGAGTTGAATTCAACCGACCATACAAATGATAAGGATCATTTGGCGTTCAATCATGGCAATTCAAGAACGAATAATTTTTTCCCCCCAAAGCTCAATTCTTGAGCTTTTAATATGCAATGCCTCTGAAAGCATAATGATGGTATTATGTATTGGCTGTACAAATGGAGCATTACAGAGTGAACAGGGTCGTGTTGTTCTCTCACCATTAACTTGATGGCCTAGCTCTCCCCTGTGTATTCCTCCTCCTCCTCTACCTCCGCCTGCCTCGCGTGGAGCAGTTAGAGAGAGCAGCTCCTCAAGCAGGGGGAACAGATTGCCTTTTGACTGACTGAGGGGGTTGCAGGAAGTAATCGCACAGAAAATTGGCCTGGAATTGCACTTTTCAGCTTTTTGACTGAGCGGGCACGTCGCATATGGCTGAACGAGCGGAGGCCAGGGGAGCACTTATCGTGACACATTAGCCCCAGTTTATCAGTACACTCCATCACCCACCAACCAAGCAGCCCGCATTCAAACACAAGCACGCTGAGAAATGCAAGAAACACATACTTCTATGGAAGCGTTTAGATGTCAACTGAAACCGTTTTCCTTCTTCTCACGATTTCTCTCCTCTCTCGTTCTCTCTGTACAGATCAGAGATTGTCTCGTCCACTCGTCCTGCCTCATTACCCTGAGAACGCTACAGCGGTTGTAGGGGGACAGGTGAAGCTGCTGTGTAAGGTCCACAGGCCGGCCTTCACCAAGGTTCAGTGGCTGAAGAGAGACGGAGATCGCCTGGGAGCCGAGGGCCAGCCACATCTTAGAGCTCTGACGGCCCTCCAGAGCAACATCTCCAAAGTGAACTCTCTGTCTCTGAGCAACGTTTCTCTGGAAGACGCTGGGGAGTACATCTGTATGGCTGAGACCACCACACATGCTGGACTCCAGCTTCAGTCCATGCAGTCTACCTGGCTACAGGTTCTACCAGGTAAACCAGAGTTTGTTAATCAGGCTATGGGATGCTTCCCACATAGATTAGGAATTAGAATACATAATTTAATAGGATCTCTATGGCTTCCCATTCAGTGTAGCCTCGTGTTTTATAGTCAATTATATCCTGATAGTAATTGATGACTAACAACAATAACTAGTTGGAAGTCAATGTATGTTCATCTCATTCCTTGTCTTTCCTGTTAGGGACCCTGATCTCTCGTTCCCTGGACCAGAGTACGGCTATTGAAGTCCCAGCAGGTAATTGCCATTGAACTGCCTCTATCCCAGTGGAGTAGAGAGAACAGAGAGGAGTATGAATGAGGATGACATGGGCCTGTTTGGTGGGCTGGAACAGGGCTTTCTCTCCGAGCCTGCGTCTTAGACCGCCACTGAACCATTGCCACCCCATCGATTTGTTTGTGAAGGCCCATCCGCTGTCACGCTACAACACGTTCATTAGCTACATCATTTTTTATCTTTCTTCCTTTTCTCTTTTATTTTTTTCAGGTAGCTAGCTTGCTCTCACTCCCACAGTGATCTATGCTAAACAAAACAAGGAGCAGAGAGAGGTGGAGAGGCCTCCCGGTCGCCATGGAAATATTTCTTTGTATGTGTCGGGTGTGTCAGGGGGATAATGTGGGCGAGAGTTGAAAGGTCATAATTGAGGGGATGGCCACTCTTTTTAGAACGAGACGTGCCCACTGACTTGCCTGTGTGTGTACGTGTCTTTTAGTGTGTGTCAATACTCACGTGTTTGTTTTGTCTCTCCGTTGTCCCTGCAGATGTCCTGGATGACCTTAGTGAGGACACCAATGAGCACCTGCTTCTGGAACCGGGTGATGTCCTCAAGCTGCGCTGTGACACCAACCGACCGGGGGGCGTGTATTGGTACAAGGAATGGACCCGGGTGCTGCACACCGCCCGCATCCAGATCCACGGGGGCGTTATGGAGATCACGGACGTGACGTACGAGGATTCTGGGGTGTATGTGTGTGTCCTCCGGGGAACCAAGGAGCCCCTGAGGAACTTCACCATTACCGTAGCAGGTGAGGTCTGGATCTAGAAAAATAAGATCTGAGCTTTAGAGATACCAAATCAAATCAAATTTTATTGGCCACATGCGCCGAATACAACAGGTATTTATACTTACAGCCCTTAACCAACAGTGCATTTATTTTTTTATAAAAAAGTAAAATAAAACAACAACAAAAAGTGTTGAGAAAAAAAGAGCAGAAGTAAAATAACAGTAGGGAGGCTATATATACAGGGGGGTACCGGTGCAGAGTCAATGTGCGGGGGCACCGGCTAGTTTAAGTAATGATGGGGTGGGGGGGCAGTGCAAATAGTCTGGGTAGCCATGACTAGCTGTTCAGGAGTGTTATGGCTTGGGGGTAGAAGCTGTTGAGAAGTCTTTTGGACCTAGACTTGGCACTCCGGTACCGCTTGCCGTGCGGTAGCAGAGAGAACAGTCTATGACTAGGGTGGCTGGAGTCTTTGACAATTTTGAGGGCCTTCCTCTGACACCGCCTGGTATAGAGGTCCTGGATGGCAGGAAGCTTGGCCCCAGTGATGTACTGGGCCGTACGCACTACCCTCTGTAGTGCCTTGCGGTCGGAGGCCAAGCAGTTGCCATACCAGGCGGTGATGCAACCAGTCAGGATGCTCTCGATGGTGCAGCTGTAGAATTATTTGAGGATCTGAAGACCCATGCCAAATCTTTTCAGTCTCCTGAGGGGGAATAGGCTTTGTCGTGCCCTCTTCACGACTGTCTTGGTGTGTTTGGACCATGATAGTTCGTTGGTGATGTGGACACCAAGGAACTTGAAGCTCTCAACCTGTTCCACTACAGCCCCGTCGATGAGAATGGGGGCGTGCTCAGACCTCTTTTTTTTCCTGTAGTCCACAATCATCTCCTTTGTCTTGGTCACGTTGCGAGAGAGGTTGTTATCCTGGCACCACACGGCCAGGTCTCTGACCTCCTCCCTATAGGCTGTCTCATCGTTGTCGGTGATCAGGCCTACCACTGTTGTGTCGTCGGCAAACTTAATGATGGTGTTGGAGTCGTGCCTGGCCATGCAGTCATGGGTGAACAGGGAGTACAGGAGGGGACTGAGCACGCACCCCTGAGGGGCCCCCGTGTTGAGGATCAGTGTGGCAGATGTGTTGTTACCTACCCTTACCACCTGGGGGCGGCCCGTCAGGAAGTCCAGGATCCAGTTGCAGAGGGAGGTGTTTAGTCCCAGGATCCTTAGCTTAGTGATGAGCTTTGAGGGCACTATGGTGTTGAATGCTGAGCTGTAGTCAATGAATAGCATTCTCACATAGGTGTTCCTCTTGTCCAGGTGGGAAAGGGCAGTGTGGAGTGCAATAGAGATTGCATCATCTGTGGATCTGTTGGGGCGGTATGCAAATTGGAGTGGGTCTAGGGTTTCTGGGATAATGGTGTTGATGTGAGCCATGACCAGCCTTTCAAAGCACTTCATGGTTACAGACGTCAGTGCTACGGGTCGGTAGTCATTTAGGCAGGTTATCTTAGTGTCCTTGGGCACGGGGACTATGGTGGTCTGCTTGAAACATGTTGGTATTACAGACTCAGTCAGGGACATGTTGAAAATGTCAGTGAAGACACTTGCCAGTTGGTCAGCACATGCTCGGAGTACACGTCCTGGTAATCCGTCTGGCCCTGCGGCCTTGTGAATGCTGACCTGCTTAAAGGTCTTACTCACATTGGCTACGGAGAGTGTGATCACATAGTCATCCGGAACAGCTGGTGCTCTCATGCATGCTTCAGTGTTGCTTGCCTCGAAGCGAGCATAGAAGTGGTTTGGCTTGTCTGGAAGTCTTGTGTAACTGGGCAGCTCGCGGCTGTGCTTCCCTTTGTAGTCTGTAATAGTTTTCAAGCCCTGCCACATCCGACGAGCGTCAGAGCCGGTGTAGTACGATTCAATCTTAGTCCTGTATTGACTCTTTGCCTGTTTGATGGTTCGTCGGAGGGCATAGCGGGATTTCTTATAAGCGTCCGGGTTAGAGTCCCGCTCCTTGAAAGCGGCAGCTCTACCCTTTAGCTCAATGCGGATGTTTCCTGTAATCCATGGCTTCTGGTTGGGGTATGTATGTACGGTCACTGTGGGGACGACATCATCAATGCACTTATTGATGAAGCCAGTGACTGATGTGGTGTACTCCTCAATGCTATCTGAAGAATCCCGGAACATGTTCCAGTCTGTGCTAGCAAAACAGTCCTGTAGCTTAACATCTGCGTCATCTGACCACTTTTTTAAATAACCAAGTCACTGGTGCTTCCTGCTTTAGTTTTTGCTTATAAGCAGGAATCAGGAGGATAGAGTTATGGTCAGATTTGCCAAATGGAGGGCGAGGGAGAGCTTTGTATGCGTCTCTGTGTGTGGAGTAAAGGTGGTCTAGAGTTTTTTTTCCTCTGGTTGCACATTTAACATGCTGGTAGAAATGAGGTAGAACGGATTTGTTTCCCTGCATTAAAGTCCCCGTCCACTAGGAGCGCTGTCTCTGGATGAGCGTTTTCCTGTTGACTTATGGCCTTATACAGCTCATTCAGTGCAATCTTAATGCCAGCATTGGTTTGTGGTGGTAAATAGACAGCTATGAAAAATATAGATGAAAACTCTCTTGGTAAATAGTGTGGTCTACAGCTTATCATAAGATACTCTACCTCAGGCGAGCAAAACCTCGAGACTTCCTTAGTATTTGATTTAGTTCACCAGCTGTTGTTTACAAATATACACAGACCGCCACCCCTTGTCTTACCGGAGTCAGCCGTTCTATCCTGCCGATGTAGCGTATAGCCCGCTAGCTGTATGTTGTCATTCAGTCACGACTCTGTGAAACATAAGATATTACAGTTTTGAATGTCCCGTTGGTAGGATAACCGTAATCTTAGGTCATCCAATTTATTCTCAAATGATTGAAGATTGGCTAATAGGATTGATGGGAGAGGCAGTTTACTCGCTCGCCGTCGGATCCTTACAAGGCACCCCGGCCTACGTCCACCATATCTCCGTCTCTTCCTCATGCGAATGACGGGAATTTGGGCCTTGTCGGGTGTCTGTAGGATATCCTTCGCGGTCGCCTCATTGAAGAAAAAATCTTTGTCCAATACGAGGTGAGTAATAGCTGTCCTGATATCCAGAAGCTCTTTTTGGTTATAAGAGACGATGGCAGAAACATTATGTACAAAATAAATTACAAATAACGCGGAAAAACACACATAATAGCACAATTGGTTAGAGGGCTGTAAAACGGCAGCCATCTTCTCCGGTGCCATTCTCAAGTAGGATCCAATGTAGTTTTAGGTTCTATTGATCCATTTCTATGTTCTAAGTTCACCCTTCCTGAATGATCAGTTATGAGAATGTTATTAGCTCTTTCCATGTCTTTATGCTTCTCTCTCAGACTCAGTGGGCTCAGGTGATGATGATGAGGACAATGGTCTAGAAGACACGTCAGCTGAGATAGACAATGACCAGGTCTACTTCACAAGAGGTCCCTACTGGACCCACACCCAGCGCATGGAGAAGAAGCTGTACGCAGTGCCGGCAGGGAACACAGTCAAGTTCCGCTGCCCGGCCATGGGCAGCCCTCTGCCCTCCATCCGCTGGCTGAAGAACGGACGCGAGTTCAGGGGAGAGCACCGCATTGGAGGCATCAAGGTGACCAACCTGGGAGCAAAGACAGTAGGAGAGTGGTTAGGGTGGGAAGAGAAGAGAAGGAGGGTGAAGGAGGGAGGGGGAGAAAGACGTGGTTGTGGTTTTCATTACTAGCGTAAAACCGCCACATACTTTGGCCTCAACCCTGGTACCTGACATTTAGTCTCAATAGGGAAGTAACACATTGTGAATCTATTTAAACTGGATCCATCAACAACAAGTTACCATAGAGACAGACTAGCACTTCCAAAGGACAAGCCAGTATAACTTGTATCCATAGGAATGGTCCAACACACAACATACAGACAACCCATTTCTAACGTGTCCATTTTTTCCGTTTATAGTTGAGACACCAGCACTGGAGCCTGGTGATGGAGAGTGTGGTGCCTTCAGACCGTGGGAACTACACCTGTCTGGTGGAGAATAAATACGGCTCCATCACACACAGCTACCTTCTGGACGTGCTGGGTAAGAACACACACTCACTCACCTCACAACAAAAACCTCTCTTCACCTACCCAACAACAGTCTGCTGTTTGCTCATCTGACATTCAACTCCCAAAGCTGGGAGTGATAGTATGGGAAATTAGCAAATGTAATTCCCTCCACCATACTCTAATTCAACCAAATTCTGTCAAACTTAACACAAGCCCTATCCGTCTGCCTCTCCATAATGACTGAAAGTCAAGTTGGCATGAACTCATTATAAAGTCCGTACAGCTAGTCAAAGCTCCATGGTGTGTGCAGTACTATACAGTATTGTCACCACCCTCCTACACCCACCACCACCCCACTCTAGACATCTAGACACAGGCCTGTCTCCTCGCGGAGCCACTGCCGGCCCATGATACTTAGCACATGTCAGGCCTAATTACTGTCATGTCCCAGCTCTCTCCCCGCTCTCCCCCAGTGGTGTCTCACTAGACACAGAGAAACACAGAAAGAGAGAAACACCCGATGAGGGAGGAAAGAGCCGATGAGGGAGCCGCCAGGGAGGCTGGGCCCACGGGGGCGCCACGATTAACCTAGCACCCGCCCCGGGGCTTTAGAAGTCCACTGGGATGTTTTATGATAGAGAGAGAGAGACACAGAGGCAGTAAATATCTGGCCTGTCGGGGGAAAAGAGGCTAAGGGGGCGGGGCGGGGGGGGGGGGGGGGGTGTTGGAAGTAGGGGGGGTGTTGAGGGGGAGCTGGCGTCAGCCGTGGCAGGGAGAGGAGAGAGAGCGGACGGCCAGGCGTCCCGACCAGTTTTCACCCTGACCTGTGACTGGCCAGTTTGTTTCGGCGGCTTGGCAGTCCCGCGTGGGGTCAACTGCTGTCTCCAGAAGCATGCGAGGGGTAAAAGAGCATGCACACACAGAACAGAGAAAGAGAGAGAAGCAACGCAGCAACTTCAAAGCTGGCCTGGCTAGAAAATAAAATTGCTAATGAAACCAATTAGTGAGACTGACTGAGTATGGCTGGCGTTGGTTGTGAGAGACGCTGCCTGCTTATCGGTCCCTTCCCCTTTGGCAGTGCTGCGCTGCGATCAGTCAGATTAACATTGGTCATTACCACTGGCCTTTCTCTCCATGCCTCTGAAACACCACATGTAGAAAACAAAAATCGGGAGATATCGTTGTTTCATCTGAATCTAAAAAAAATACTGTTATTTTAGAATAGTATTTACTTCAATTGCTAGGGTATTTCAGGCATTTCAGAGTACTTCTGGCAGTTCAGTCGGCGATGTGCTCCTTTGAACAGAGGCATTTCCTTTTCTTCTTTGAACAGAGGCATTTCTTGCTGTCTCCCCGGCCAAACTTTGAACTCTTCCCCCGGTCAAGGGGAATCCTCATTGCCCTCTGGAGTCTAACACTTTCTCTCTCTATTTCTACCTCTCTCCCCCTCCCTTGCTCTCTGATTTCAGAGCGCTCCCCGCACAGGCCTATCCTGCAGGCTGGTCTGCCAGCCAACACTACAGCGGTGGTGGGCACTGATGTCCAGTTCTTCTGTAAGGTCTACAGCGATGCCCAGCCCCACATCCAGTGGCTGAAACACATTGAGAGGAACGGCAGCCGCTACGGCCCCGACGGGACTCCCTACGTTCAGATACTGAAGACAGGCAGCCTAAACATGTCGGAGGTGGAAGTTCTCTACCTGACTAAGGTGACCATGGAGGATGCTGGAGAGTACACCTGTCTGGCTGGAAACTCCATCGGCTTCTCCTACCAGTCTGCCTGGCTCACCGTCCTCTCAGGTATGTTTATTACTCAAACAACAATATGGCAACATATGGCCAAAGTAAGGAGTCTAGAAGAGTTCCGAAGAAATGGTCCCTTGTGTTTTGGGTCAACATACTACAGGACTTTTTGTTGTGCCAAAGGAGTTCAGAAGGAATTGTCACTTGTGCTTGAGACAGTCAGTCTCTAACCAATCCTCGTATTTCCTTCTCATTGTCTTCTTCTTACAGAGGAGGACGTGGCTGACGAGGTGGACCTAATGGAGACCAAGTACACTGACATCATCATCTACGCGTCTGGCTTCCTGGCTCTGGTCATGGCCATTGTGATCGTGGTGCTGTGTCGCATGCAGGTCAACCCCAGCAGAGAACCCTTCGATGTCCTCCCCGTCCAGAAACTCTCCAAGTTCCCCCTCCGCAGACAGTACTCTGTGGAGTCCAACTCGTCAGGGAAGTCCAGTGCGTCTCTGATGAGAGTGGCCCGCCTGTCTTCCAGCTGCTCCCCCATGCTGGCCGGAGTCATGGAGTTTGAACTGCCCTACGACCCTGACTGGGAGTTTCCCAGGGAGAAGTAAGTTCTGCTTTGACTTCCTTGGTTTTGTTGTAGTTCCTTAATGGTTATTGAGTCAGTCATTGAGTTCCTCCATCTTGAATACGTGTTTTGGTTTCTGTTGAATTCCATGTATCTTCACTGTACTGACCATCATTATCCTTCCTCTCTCCAGTATGACTTTAGGGAAGCCACTGGGTGAGGGTTGCTTCGGTCAGGTGGTCAGAGCTGAGGCCTATGGGATCAACAAGGACCATCAAGAGAACGTCTCCACTGTGGCCGTCAAGATGCTGAAAGGTATGAGCTAGGTACCATCTTCTTAGGAGGAGACTGGACAATGACTAGTATTTACTATTAACTCTATTTCCAGATATGTTCCTAAGACTTCAAATGTGTGTCCCTCTCGTTCCCCAGATGATGCCACAGACAAAGACCTGTCAGATCTCATATCTGAGATGGAGCTGATGAAGGTGATGGACAAGCACAAGAACATCATTAATCTCCTGGGGGTGTGCACACAAGAGGGTGAGTTCAAGACACAAGTTCACAATAGATAATGACAACCAAAAGTCAAAAGCTACTATCTCACTGTTGCTCCTCACTCATTTGACTCTAGCCCTGCTCAGTGACATTGCCATTAATGGTGGTCCTATGCCTCCAGGCATCCTCAGTGAGGGTGGACTCAATCACTAACTTTCTCCCCTCCCCCATCAGGTCCTCTGTACGTGCTGGTAGAGTATGCATCTAAAGGCAGCCTCAGGGAGTACCTGCGGGCCCGCCGGCCCCCCGGCATGGACTATACCTTTGATGTGACCAAAGTGCCAGAGGAGCAGCTCACCTTCAAAGACCTGCTGTCCTGTGCCTACCAGGTGGCGCGTGGCATGGAGTACCTGGCCTCCAAAAGGGTGAGTACTATGTCCTAATTGGGTTTGGCCAGCAATTGGGCTTGTATACCCTACCTATATCGTTTGGTTTTCAAATGGATGACTTTGGCCTAAGGGGTTTGGTTATCTCCATATGTATTCTATCAGGTTTAAAATCTGTAACTGGCCTTCTATAGAATGACTTTGGCCTGAAGGGGTTTAGCCAACAAGCAAGAGCAAGTTGCAACCCCCTCCCTCCTTCCTTCCCTTCTACCCCCAACACACCCTTCCTCATTCACTAGCCTGGTATCTCTTATCAACACATCCCTTTGTATGACACACCATCCTGTCATTCCACAGTGGAGTGGTGGTTGAGCCCTGTTTACCCCTCCGTTCATCCATCCCTCCATCCTGCCGCAGTGGGCTTTGTCCTTTTTAGCACAGCCATAAATCTGTTAGCAAACAGGCGCAGAGCTGCGTCTGTGCCCCGGCATCGGGTTTCTGTCTCTGTGGCCTGCTAAGAATGCAGCAGTCTGAAACCACCCCACCATTACGGAGCCCCCACAAAACCAAGGCTTTTTCATTTCCACCAATCCCCAAATACCACGTCTATTTCAAATGAAAACCAAAATAAACTTAATGACATCCATTCAAATCTGGCAAACAGGGGTTGTTTTTCGACGAAACCCCCAGATCTATATAAAGTTGATTTTTAATTTGGTGCGTCTGGTTAAAATTGGACGCTGCGTGTTGACTTAAGACCGGGTCTTTTAATTTTAGAAACGTACAGCGAATAATTTCTATGTCAATCCTATCTGGTTTTACATGACGACTGCAAAAACAGAAAACCGCAATGTAGACATCGTCATGTAATTGCAATACTCTAATTGTAGGGTAACATTTCACAAACACTTAAAATAAAACTCAAAACGACGTATATCTTCATGTTCTCTGACTTTACCCTGGTTTCTGCTCTCTACAGTGCATCCACAGAGACCTTGCTGCCAGAAACGTCCTAGTCACAGAAGACAACGTCATGAAAATCGCAGACTTCGGCCTTGCAAGAGGAGTGCACCAGATCGACTACTACAAGAAAACCACCAACGTGAGTTATCCTATCCTGCTATCCCCCTGACTGGCTCTGTGGCACCTTGTCCCTCTCCTAAACCCAGACATAAGTGCCTGTGCCAGGGCTGTGCTGTTGTGTGTCGTCTGGCTGGCCAGCTTTCAGAACAGCCCCTGCTGGTACATGTAGACACAACACACTGTCTGCTCTCTGTCTAGTGTCACCCAGTCGGCTTGTGCATGTTTGCAGCTTTAATGCTCTTAAAGACAGATGTTTGATGTGTGCCCACTGATTGGCAGCCAGCTTAATGGGAGATAATTAGAAAAATGGGACAAGGAAGGGAAGAAGGGAGTGGGCGAAAGAGAGGGAGGAATGGGGGGAGTGGGGGAATGAAGTGGGGAAGACTGGATGAAAGGCTAGAACTGGAATGTCGCTTCGGCTCTGGCGACTGACTCACTGACTGTCCACCGCTCACTAACGTGGTTGTTCTGTTTTGCAGGGACGTCTGCCAGTGAAGTGGATGGCACCAGAGGCCTTGTTCGACAGAGTCTACACACACCAAAGTGACGTGTGGTCTTTTGGGGTGCTGATGTGGGAGATCTTCACCCTGGGGGGCTCGCCGTACCCTGGTATCCCCGTGGAAGAGCTCTTCAAGCTGCTGAAGGAAGGCCACCGCATGGACAAACCCTCCAACTGCACACACGAACTGTGAGTAGACACACATAAGTGCATACCAAAACTTACCAAACACACACAACAGCGTTCTCTTCACCTAACCATTCAACTTGAAGTTGTAAATTGATGTTTATTACTGTGTTGTGAAAGAAAGAAACAGTGAGTGGACGTTTGCCTTCCTTCAGAAGATATATTTTGTGTCCTTTCTCCTGTGCTATATTTGGATGTGTGTAAATGTGAAAATGCTGTGGATGTGTGTATATACCCTGGTACTAACTAGCCCTGTCTGTCTATGTGTGTGTGTGCAGCTACATGAAGATGAGGGAGTGCTGGCATGCTGTGCCCACACAACGACCCACCTTCAAACAGCTGGTGGAGGAGCTAGACCGAGTGCTGCTGTCTATCTCTGACGAGGTGGGTGTCTGGACCCCTGTTTGCGCGCACACACACACACACACACACAATCTGCTAGCCAGATGTCCTGTTGCAACTGACAGTTCCAGCTATAGTTTAGTTTATTACTGTAAGACACCCTGTAGTTCAAGATAAGAAAGCAAATCTCTCTGGGTTTGTACACAGCACAGTCTCAGATAAAATGTCAAACTTACTATACATCACACAACACAAACATCAAGCTTAAAAATACAATAAAATACACAACAACACAAATGCAAAGTGTTACCAAGCTTAACTGTTTCTCTCCTGCTTTTTTTTGTTAGTACTTGGACCTGTCGACACCCTTCGAACAGTACTCCCCGTCATGCGAGGACACCTCCAGTTCTTGCTCCTCGGACAATGACTCTGTCTTTACCCATGATGCCCTGTCCACCGACCCCTGTCTGCTGGGTTACCACGACGTGCATTCTCGGGTAGAGCTGAAAACGGCACTGCGGTAGACAGTGGCTCCAAAGGGAGTCCTCTGGCTCAAAGGGCATTACATGCAGAAGTTTGCGTTGGACAACGACCATGTTGCATGAAAATTGGTACTTGGACTGTCTGCTCTGGCACTGTGCCTAAGAACAATATCTCAAACCTTGGCACTACAGAACCCTGGTCATCTAAAATGGCTGCCTCTTCTTCTTCTTATCAGGTTTGGGGTTTTATAGTAAAAGGACTCTCTTTTGTTTGGGTCTCTACAGAGAGGATCGACAATGGTCTTCTTGTTCTCAAACTCATCCAAGCTTGCCTCTGAACAGTATCCAAACTGGGCTTTTAAACCAGAAAAATAAGTTTTAACAAAAAATATGTTAACACTTTATATTAAGTGTCCATAATAAACCATTCATACGGCATTTATAAGGCATTTACAAACAGTTTGCTCACAATTGATTACTCATTATTCCCACATTTGTAAATGTTAGTAAGCAAGTTATTCACACATGTATATATATTTCCTTAAACATCCTGTGTTGCATGCTAATTCTTTTACCAGGTACTGCTGGAATGTCTACCATCTTTTTGTGAGAAATTACACTGGTCACTCAAAACAATTTATAAAGTATTTATTAAGTATAAATAGTGCACACTTTAGATTAGGGACTGCAAAAATGCTTTACTAATGATTAGTAAATGCCTTATAAATGGTTTATTGCGGAACCTTAAAATAAAGTGTTACCAAAAATATTTATTTGGATATAAAAAAACAGAGAAGCTGATTGTTAAATATAAATCTCTCTGTATATAAGATTATTTTACATTTTGCTATTTAAAATTGTCTTAAATCTCAGGATCTCTTGTGTTAAAAAGTTGCTGTAGGGGCAGCAAAGTGCCAGAATTTTTGATTTCCTGTGAATATATTAAAATATAAAAATATTTTATGTACATATCACAAAAAAGACAATTACCTTTTTATAAATTATTCTAAATGATACAAAAATGAAGGTGTTCAACTGAGGTGAAGAAAGAAATGATGTATTCAAGTGTTTAACGGCCAAAACATTCCTTTTCATCAAAACACCCTCAGTCCCATTTGTACTCTGCTCTGGCCTTTGTATGGCATTGAGGCCATTCGGTCAAAGCCCTCAGGACCCCCAATCCCTTATGCTTTCAATTGTTGCATACATAAACTAACTATAAGAACAGTATGGTCTAGGCCCTGAAAGAGAATAATACAATTCAACACAGGACACTGGGAATACAGGGGGAGTAGCCCAGCTTCTACTGTCAGTGCTGTATGAAAAGAAAAGGACTGGACCTGCATGTCTGAATGTGAAAGGCCCAGTGTGATTGATTTCAAATGGGAGAATCCTCCTCTTTTGTTTCCCCTCTAACCCTTTAACCAGGCCCAGTGTGTTTGCAGGGGTACAGGCTGAGGCCGGACCTGGACAATAGGCTTTTTGGCAATCCTGATGGGTGTGACTGTGGGGACAGGGAGGGTAGGGTGTTCCAGGGGTAGCCTCAGCCCCTCAGCCTGGGCCTGTGTGCAAATGAAGAGTCCCTTATTATGTTAATGCCTGGCTCCCACTGATAGCCATCTTTATCTTGCTACTATCTTTTAATATACAAATGCTAATTCTGATGCTCTGTTACCATTGGGAAGAACTCTAGAAATGTCCTCCAGGGAATGCAAAGGGTTCACCTCAATTCGTATAGATAAGATTCTCATGTTGCTGTTTTAACAACGCTTCACAATCTAACTGCCCCAGGTTGTTTTTCATTCAGATGACTCAAAAGCATTTTTAGGAAAAAGATTGTGACGTTGTGGGTTGAAAGCAAAGCATAATGCTCATACAGTTTTTTTTTTTTAAATACAGCTATTCAGGTAGCAGGGCAGTGGGGCTAGCTACCTTTTTGTGTACATTGATATCCTTACTGTTGAGGTGTGAGATTTATTTGGTGTGTCATCAATTTAGCTCAAAATACCATTTTTTTCTCCTGTAAGGCAGCTATGCCAATGCATGACCTCCAACTGAAAACCAAACCATTAGCTTCAGAACAGCCTATATGAATTTAACTTAGCCCTTCACCATGGAGAGTTGTATCACAAAGCTCTTCAGTGTTGTTGTTTTGATTCCCATACTACACAATGTCAGGATCAACTGCATGACATTCCATTTATGTACTCCCAATACAATTGTAACAATCACAATGTTCTTTTTTTTTTAAATCCTCAAGATTATTATTTTAGAAATATCTAATTTATTTGTTTATTGTTTTGTTTTCTATGAAATAAAGTATAATTTAAAATATCAACTTTGTCTCTTTCTGTGGCCATGTGTCATTCGTTTAGAAAGAGAGATGAAGAGACAGGAGGAACAGAAAGAGAAAGAAAGACAGCAGCTGAAGACAGAGAAAGAGAGAAAATGAGAGAGGGAGACAGACAAGAGAAAGAGAGATGGGGGTAAGGGGTTAAGGGGTAGCGGGAGAGTGCACTCGTGATCACAGAGAACCAGTGCCTTTTAAGTGGCATGCTTAACCCCAGCACACGGCTGGCTTATCTCTCATGTGTAACAAATCATGGCCAGTCAGTCAGAGGAGGATCAGGCAGGGAGCCATCCGGCTTTGTCCTACCCAGGCCAGGGTTCTCTCTGCTGGGCCTGATAGCAGCCTGTGTCTGGGGTTGGAGGCCATCTGATCCAGCTGGGGACAGGGAGATAAGGCCAGCAGGCCAGATATCAGTCTGGAGCTGATATATCTCACCTCCTCACATCTCTACATGCTCAGGATGCCTGGATGAGGGGCGGTGTGTGATATGGGAACCTAAATTCATAAAACCCAATACGCTTAACTTGGGACGTGATACCTGACATTCTCAAGACACAGTACCTATCCCTTTGAAATTGTACAGCTTTGTGGGTTTAAGAAGATCGTTTTGAGTGTCTCCCAGAGAGTACGCTTGAAACTGCACTTATAAAGCAGGACTGAGTAAAAAACCTTGCTAAAATGCCCCTGTGAATTCCCATTCATTCACATTCATTCACATACACATCTTATCTGGAGATGTTGAGCAACCACAGCACATTGAACGGACTGTACTGTTCAGATAAGAGTGTGTGTGTGTGTGCGCGTGCGTGTGCTTGAGTTTGGGCGCCAAGCCAGGTGTTGACTCAGTGGTTGATATCGGCTGACTTTGTTTCTGGTCCCGGGGTGGCTGCTGAGGCCATGATTACTCAGCCATCATTGTGGGGCTAGCAGCCATCCTTGTGGGGCTACATCACACACAATCTCCCCACATGAATCATCACACAGAGGCAGATGAGAGGGCAGTGTTTTTGTTCAGGTTGTGGCTGTATGGCTAATAGCTATAATGAATAGCTTACAAAGAGCCCCTAGAAAGATATAGACATGGAAGAGGACAGGGCACAGAGAGTTTCAGATGAGTGGGCAGTATTGTTGTTCACGTTCACATTTACATTTTACATTTGAGTCATTTAGCAGACGGTATTATCCAGAGTGACTTACAGTTAGTGCATTTATCTTAAGATAGCTAGGTAGGGCAACCACATATCACAGGCATAGAAAGTAAATTTTTCCTCAATAAAGTATCTATCAGTGGAGTCAGAGCTAGAAAGGGGGGTGAAGTGCAAGTGCTGATTCAGGTTATTTATTTGTATTTATTTTGGGGGTTGAGGTGAGGAGGAGGATTATTTAAGATACTGTTTGAAGAGGTAGGGTTTCAGATGTTTTCGGAAGATGGGCAGGGACTCTGCTGTCCTAGCTTCAGGGGGAAGCTGGTTCCACCATTGGGGTGCCAGGACAGAGAAGAGCTTGGACTGGGCTGAGCGGTTCAATGTTATCGGTGATGCTAGATGTTTTACTCTCTAAAATAAACAGTAATGTTTAAAATGTCTGTCTCAACCCTCTTCTCCCTCTAGATTAAAGTTTAGCAATGCTGACAATGATAATGGGCCCTCCTGGCCTATATTATCTAGGGTTCATTACACCAAAAATGTTAATATACCATCCAATATCTCAAAATAGGCTACATGTCAGTTCAGCTCTAAAACCCTTCTGGGTAGCTAGGCTACCTGTCATCCGACTCTAAGAGGAAACAGAGGTGGGTGTGATTTGTGGGTCCTAGCCCCATTGTTTATGGTCTTAGTGGCCTGAGACGCAGCTTGAGGTGGGCAGGATGGGCTGGATCATGTGTCCAGCTCTTAGTGTTTGGGTGTTAAATAACTCTACGTTAATGAGATGTGTCAATCACCAGGAAGGAGAGGAGGTGGGGAGACGTGTCAGTCGGAGCAGAGGGCAACACTGAGCTAGACTGCTCTGTGGCTGGCTGGCTGCTCCGTGTCTGGCTGGTCGGCTGCTCCGTTTTACATTTTAGCAGACGCTCTTATCCACAGCGACTTACAGTTAGTGAGTACATTATTTTTTTTTCTTTCATACTGGCCCCCCGTGGGAATCAAACCCACAACCCTGCCGTTGCAAACGCCATGCTCTACCAACTGACCTACATCCCTGCCGGCCATTCCCTCCCCTACCCTGGATGACGCTGGGCCAATTGTGCACCGCCCCACGGGTCTCCCGGTCGCGGCCGGCTACGACAGAGCCTGGATTCGAACCAGGATCTCTAGTAGCACAGCTAGCACTGCGATGCAGTGCCTTAGACCACTGCGCCACTCATGGCTGGCTGGCTCCCTGGCTGTATGGCTGTCTGCTTTGGGAAGCTGTAGCTCTGGCTGTGTCAACAGCCCCGAGTTTCACGTTACTCCAAACTATACCTTTTCAGAGGAATTCTGTAGGAGGCAGAAAACAAACATCCCGTAGTGAAACACATGGGGAGGATGAGGATCGGCTTCAACTTCAAGTGCAACAAATCTAGGATAATTCAGAACTAAAGTGATAGTAAAACCTATTGGCAATATACAGTGAGGGAAAAAAGTATTTGATCCCCTGCTGATTTTGTACGTTTGCCCACTGACAAAGACATGATCAGTCTATAATTTTA